GCAGAATCGCTACATGCAGGTACAACGTTTATTATCAGAGACACAGCACAGCAACACGTGGGAAAGAACACGGAGGAACAGCTGGTCTAGTTACCACAGAAGCAAAGCAGAGACACACACCTGGAGAGAAAGGTTATGGGCGCCCCCTGGTGACAAGGAGCACAATAACCACGAGGTGGTGAAGTCCTTTATATAGGCCAGTTCTTCTGGGTCTTTGTCTTCCTTCCTGCCAAGTTTCTGGGTTTTCTTTCTTCACATCTGACCTATCCTGGGCCTCTGCCCTGGTGTGCACATACCCCTCAGCCAAGATGGATCTCCAAGTGGAGGCTTCTGGGAGAAGCGAGGCTCATCATGGTCTGGCACTTTCGCGGGACTTTTCACCCACAAGGAGCCTCTCTGCGCATGTGTAGTGTTTCCCTTCTCCCACAAGGGGGGTGGGGGAGGGAGATCTCTTCATCCTTGACTCAAGCAGGATTTTGTCCCTCTTTGTCCCTTGTCATGGCTACTAAAGTGTTCATGAGAGACAGACACGGGTTATTTACCCTCTTTCGGTTGTTACTTCCATTTCACAGGGCAAGCAGGACACTGACTGTAAAGGCTCAACTGGAGCCCAACCATCTCGCTTGCCTCAGGAAATGTAAACAGGCTAGATGTAAATGCCTAACCTGGAGTCCATCTGTCTCCTCCAGCAGCATTATGGGAAGACAAAAGGCGGAAAATTATGCCAATAAGGCACCACATGATGGTGCAAAAAGATGGATATAGACAAGGAAAGAAGGAATAAAAACTAAGCATTATGCTAATGGCAACCATTATGCAAGTTAATGGGGGGTGGGGGGGAACCTAATGGAAAACACTTGCTTTTATGCCATAAACCATCCTTGAATTCAGGTTGAATTGGATTTTTCACGATAAACTTTTCATCACCTCTGCATTGGCTTGTCGTCTACTTTGTGCAAAAGCCTGGAGCTCCTGACTACTAGGGGGTCTCCCATCCAAGTACTAACTAACCCTGCTTAGTTTCCCCAATCAGAAGACATCTGGCCCGTTCAGGGTGGTATGATCTTAGATGGAGGCGGTTGCCGCCAGGCACCTTTAAAAACCCTGCGCTGCGCCTGCTTTTCGCTCTGATGTGCCGTGTCGAGCCAGCCGGCCGCACCTTTCCACGGGGCGCGCCGGCCAGGGCCGGCAGCCCGGCCGAAGCCTCCCAGTCCCCACACACCGGCAACCCTGGCCAGCAAACCTGGCCCGGCCCGGGGGCCCGGAGTGTTTCCGGGACCCCGAGCGGCCGGTCGGGCGTGCATGCCTGGGCTTGGGGTTGGGGTGAGGGGTGCGGAGGTCTCGGCGCCCTCCCGCCCTGGGCCTCTCCAGGCCCGCCCCCTGTCAGCGCCCCCCCCCCCCGCCCACTCCCGTTCGTGGCTCAGGGCCACGTGGCCCCGGAGGTGTCTGATTCGGGCCCGCCGCGGACCGCGGCCCTCGGTCCTCTGAGCCTCCCTCGGGCATAGGCGGAGCGCAGCCGGGGCCCTGAGCGCCCATCCTGCCCGGCACCTGCCCGGGGCCCAAACCCACTGGGAGCCACCAGCGCGGTCCACCCGAGCGCCTCAGCCCTGCCCCTTCGCCCGACCGCGGCCCCCCTCCTCGCCACGCCACCCGCCAAGCACAGGACCTTCCTGAGGTCCTTAAAATTCTTCCTTCAAGAGTTCTAGGTAAATTTAAGACAGCATCTACTGGATTTTCTCCAAGGTCTAAAAACACAAACAAACCAACAGTTACCTTGATCCATCTTGCCTTAATGTGAGCTGTAACAGTAACCTCAGAGCTGCTGCACTCAATGATTTGATTCATTCTGTTGTTGAAAAACAGGGATTCTCAATATTGTCAAAATGGCTATAGTACCCAAAGCAATCTACAGATTCAATGCAATCCCTATCAAGCTACCAACGGCAGCTTTCAGAGAACTAGAGCAAATAATTTCACAATTTGTATGGAAATGCAAAACACCTCGAATAGCCAAAGGAATCTTGAGAAAGAAGAATGGAACTGGAGGAATCAACCTGCCTGACTTCAGACTATACCACAAAGCCACAGTCATCAAGACAGTATGGTACTGGCACAAAGACAGAAATATAGATCAATGGAACAGAACAGAAAGCCCAGAGATAAATCCACGAACCTATGGTCACCTTATCTTCGACAAAGGAGGCAAGGATATACAGTGGAAAAAAAGACAACCTCTTTAACAAGCGGTGCTGGGAAAACTGGTCAGCCACCTGGAAAAGAATGAAACGAGAACACCGTCTAACACCATACACAGAAATAAACTCAAAATGGATTAAAGATCTAAACGTTAAGACCAGAAACCATAAAACTCCTAGAGGAGAACACAGGCAAAACACTCTCCGACATAAATCACAGCAGGATCCCAGAGTATTAGAAACAAAAGCGAAAATTAACAAATGGGACCTAATGAAACTTAAAAGCTTTTGCACGACAAAGAAACTATAAGCGAGGTGAAAGGACAGCCCTCAGATTGGGAGAAAATAACAGCAAACGAAGCAACACACAAAGGATTAATCTCAAAAATATACAAGCAACTCCTCCAGCTCAACTCCAGAAAATAAATGACCCAATCAAAAAATGGGCCAAAGAGCTAACCAGACATTTCTCCAAGGAAGGCATACAGATGGCTAAAAGACACATGAAAAGATGCTCAACATCACTCATTATCCGAGAAATGCAAATCAAAACCACAATGAGGTACCATTACACGCCAGGCAGGATGGCTGCTATCCAAAAAGTCTACAAGCAATAAATGCTGGAGAGGGTGTGGAGAAAAGGGAACCCTCTTACCCTGTCGGTGGGAATGCAAACTAGTACAGCCGCTATGGAAAACAGTGTGGAGATTTCTTAAAAAACTGGAAACAGAACTGCCCTATGATCCAGCAATCCCACTTCTGGGCATACACGCCGAGGAAACCAGATCTGAAAGAGACACGTGCACCCCAATGTTCATCGCAGCACCGTTTATAATAGGCAGGACATGGAAGTAACCTAGATGCCCGTCAGCAGACGAATGGATAAGGCAGCTGTGGTACATATACACCATGGAATCTTACTCAGCCATTAAAAAGAATTCATTTGAATCAGTTCTAAAGAGATGGATGAAACTGGAGCCCGTTATACAGACTGAAGTAAGCCAGAAAGATAAAGACCATTACAGGATACTAACACATATACACGGAATTGAGCAAGATGGTAACCATAACCCTATATGCAAAACAGAAAAAGACACACAGATGTAGAGAACAGACTTTTGGACTCTGTGGGAGAAGGCGCGGGTGGGATGTTTCAAGAGAACAGCATCGAAACACGTATATATAACCTAGGGTGAAAGAGATCACCAGCCCAGGTTGGATGCAGGAGACAAGTGCTCGGACCTGGTGCACTGGGAAGAGCCAAAGGGATCGGGTCGAGACGGAGGTGGGAGGGGGGATCGGGATGGGGAATACATGTAAATCCATGGCTAATTCATGTCAATGTATGACAAAAAAATTTGTAAAGTCATTAGCCTCCAACTAATAAAAATAAATGAAAAAAAAAAAAACAAAAACCAGGGATTCATTGAGCTGCATGGGAGATGAATTCTGTCATTAGAAACTTTGCCACCAGGCTTAAGAAATATATTTAGAACTCATTTCTTTCAGGAAACAGGTTTCAAGATCTCCATAAGAAGTCTTTTATTAAGATAAATCACAGCTTTGTCAGTTTCTCCAGAAGTACCCTCTTTTTAATTCCCAAGGAGAATGGCAATAATAAAACTAAATTAACCGAGTAGGTTATTTTCTCTCTAATGGCCCCTGTCTTGATTAAGAGGATTCCGGTCGACGTATTTCCTGGGCTTCCCTGGTGGCTCAGGTGGTAAAGCATCTGTCTGCAATGCAGGAGACCTGGGTTTCATGCCTGGGTTGAGAAGATCGCCTGGAGAAGGGAATGGCCACCTCTTCCAGTATTCTTGCCTAGAGAATTCCACGGACAGAGGAACTGGGAAGGCCACAGTCCATGGAGTCACAAAGAGTCGGACACAGCTGAGCAACTAATACACATATTTTCTTACCATTTGCTTAGCAGAAGCAATCATTCATAGCATTTTATAGCACTTTCTAAAGAACATTTTGTGCCTTTTTTCTCTTTTGTAAGCTGCACCAGGTCTTGGTTGCCACACATGGGATCTTTCATTGTGGCGTGCACACTCTTTCTTGCAGTGAATGGGATCTAGTTCACTGACCAGAGATTGAACCCAGGCCCCTGCATTGGGAGCAGCCACTGGATCGCCAGGGAAGCCCTCTAAAGAACTCTTAAAGTGAAACTTTTTGGATGTTCGCAGCAGCTCTGGGCAGTCCTAGTGATGATACTTGTTCTGCACTCTTGAGCCCGTGACCTCCCTGAGGGACACAGGGGCCAAGCGAGCAGATGCTACCCCAGCGCCAGACCACAGGGCCAGACTGGCAGTGTAAACTCCCTTCCAGTGATGTCCTCTTTTTACTGTTCCTCTGGTCAATTCAGTACTGTTTCCTTGGAGCTTGTGTTTAAAAGGAAATCCTAGATGTGTTCAAACATTACTGCCCACTTTCAGATGCATTGATATCTACCTAGGACTTCTCTATTAAACCCACCTGCCTGAGTACTGTGACTTGATTGGAGTTTTCTTGAAGTCACTCCTGAAGCACTGTGATGGCTTTGTCTAACATTAATAGATTTTTTAAAATGATATGTGTTGGGGAATGGCTATGAAAAAAGGGGAGAATCTGTTGCTACTGCAAACCAATTAAGGAGGCAACTTAAAAAGGAAATCTGAATTGTAACTATGTTTCTATTTCTGTAAAATACTGTCCTTACCTTGCAGTCTGTAGTTGATGTGCCCAGACACAGTAGTGGCTCTCGGGTTGCTCTTCTGCCATCTTCCTGTCTCCTTCAGTCCCTGCATGCGTATAGGAACTTCAGTGAGATAATGGGGCATTTAACACAGATTAATACTCTGTGCAATACTGTATTTAGTGTTTCTACTTTAAAGTTTATAGGATGTTAATTTACATGCAAATAAAATACATGATAAGAGAGTTCTCTGCCTATTGTGTCTATATGACCTAAAAGTAAATGCAAAATATTTATCTCAGAGGGAAAATAAGTTAGAGCGTCTGTGTTCAAAGATTTTTGAAAGTTCTCATCTCAGGCCGAACCGTTGCTGGTGAACAGTGAAAGTCGCTCTGTCATGTCTGACTCTGCGAACGCATGGACTGTACAGTCCATGGAATTCTCCAGGCCAGAATACTAGAGTGGGTAGCCGTTTCCCTTCTCCAGGGGGTCTTTGCAACCCAGGGATCGAACCCAGGTCTCCTGCACTGCAGGTGGATTCCTCACCAGCTGAGCCACCAGGGAAGCCTGAACAGTTCTTGGCAGCTAAGGATTTAACAACTGCTAGAGTGTAAAGACAAAATAGTAATTCCGCTACATTAAAACACATTTTCTTAAGTGCAAATCTTCTCAATGCAGTTTTAGGGAAGAAGTATTTCCCCCTTATGGAAATATCAGTATGTTAATTCCTAAGAAGTCCTTTCTCGAAAAGTTGCAAAAATTCATATGATGTAGATTAAATGGTGATAAAAATTGAGTTGATCTCAGTGAGGCAGCAGTGAGTGGTGGCGTGAAGTGAGATCTAATTCGCTGCCCAGGAACTGAACCTGGGTAGCCTGAACGAAAACCAGGAATCCTAGCCACCAGACCAGCAAGGGCTAGAGGCCAGAAGCCAAGTTTCCCTGGATCTTTGACCAGTGAAAAATGCATTCATCATGGAGGCAGAATCGCTACATGCAGGTACAACGTTTATTATCAGAGACACAGCACAGCAACACGTGGGAAAGAACACGGAGGAACAGCTGGTCTAGTTACCACAGAAGCAAAGCAGAGACACACACCTGGAGAGAAAGGTTATGGGCGCCCCCTGGTGACAAGGAGCACAATAACCACGAGGTGGTGAAGTCCTTTATATAGGCCAGTTCTTCTGGGTCTTTGTCTTCCTTCCTGCCAAGTTTCTGGTTTCTTTCTTCACATCTGACCTATCCTGGGCCTCTGCCCTGGTGTGCACATACCCCTCAGCCAAGATGGATCTCCAAGTGGAGGCTTCTGGGAGAAGCGAGGCTCATCATGGTCTGGCACTTTCGCGGGACTTTTCACCCACAAGGAGCCTCTCTGCGCATGTGTAGTGTTTCCCTTCTCCCACAAGGGGGGTGGGGGGAGGGGAGATCTCTTCATCCTTGACTCAAGCAGGATTTTGTCCCTCTTTGCCCTTGTCATGGCTACTAAAGTGTTCATGAGAGACAGACACTGGTTATTTACCCTCTTTCGGTTGTTACTTCCATTTCACAGGGCAAGCAGGACACTGACTGTAAAGGCTCAACTGGAGCCCAACCATCGCTTGCCTCAGGAAATGTAAACAGGCTAGATGTAAATGCCTAACCTGGAGTCCATCTGTCTCCTCCAGCAGCATTATGGGAAGACAAAAGGCGGAAAATTATGCCAATAAGGCACCACATGATGGTGCAAAAAGATGGATATAGACAAGGAAAGAAGGAATAAAAACTAAGCATTATGCTAATGGCAACCATTATGCAAGTTAATGGGGGGTGGGGGGGAACCTAATGGAAAACACTTGCTTTTATGCCATAAACCATCCTTGAATTCAGGTTGAATTGGATTTTTCACGATAAACTTTTCATCACCTCTGCATTGGCTTGTCGTCTACTTTGTGCAAAAGCCTGGAGCTCCTGACTACTAGGGGGTCTCCCATCCAAGTACTAACTAACCCTGCTTAGTTTCCCCAATCAGAAGACATCTGGCCCGTTCAGGGTGGTATGATCTTAGATGGAGGCGGTTGCCGCCAGGCACCTTTAAAAACCCTGCGCTGCGCCTGCTTTTCGCTCTGATGTGCCGTGTCGAGCCAGCCGGCCGCACCTTTCCACGGGGCGCGCCGGCCAGGGCCGGCAGCCCGGCCGAAGCCTCCCAGTCCCCACACACCGGCAACCCTGGCCAGCAAACCTGGCCCGGCCCGGGGGCCCGGAGTGTTTCCGGGACCCCGAGCGGCCGGTCGGGCGTGCATGCCTGGGCTTGGGGTTGGGGTGAGGGGTGCGGAGGTCTCGGCGCCCTCCCGCCCTGGGCCTCTCCAGGCCCGCCCCCTGTCAGCGCCCCCCCCCCCCCGCCCACTCCCGTTCGTGGCTCAGGGCCACGTGGCCCCAGAGGTGTCTGATTCGGGCCCGCCGCGGACCGCGGCCCTCGGTCCTCTGAGCCTCCCTCGGGCATAGGCGGAGCGCAGCCGGGGCCCTGAGCGCCCATCCTGCCCGGCACCTGCCCGGGGCCCAAACCCACTGGGAGCCACCAGCGCGGTCCACCCGAGCGCCTCAGCCCTGCCCCTTCGCCCGACCGCGGCCCCCCTCCTCGCCACGCCACCCGCCAAGCACAGGACCTTCCTGAGGTCCTTAAAATTCTTCCTTCAAGAGTTCTAGGTAAATTTAAGACAGCATCTACTGGATTTTCTCCAAGGTCTAAAAACACAAACAAACCAACAGTTACCTTGATCCATCTTGCCTTAATGTGAGCTGTAACAGTAACCTCAGAGCTGCTGCACTCAATGATTTGATTCATTCTGTTGTTGAAAAACAGGGATTCTCAATATTGTCAAAATGGCTATAGTACCCAAAGCAATCTACAGATTCAATGCAATCCCTATCAAGCTACCAACGGCAGCTTTCAGAGAACTAGAGCAAATAATTTCACAATTTGTATGGAAATGCAAAACACCTCGAATAGCCAAAGGAATCTTGAGAAAGAAGAATGGAACTGGAGGAATCAACCTGCCTGACTTCAGACTATACCACAAAGCCACAGTCATCAAGACAGTATGGTACTGGCACAAAGACAGAAATATAGATCAATGGAACAGAACAGAAAGCCCAGAGATAAATCCACGAACCTATGGTCACCTTATCTTCGACAAAGGAGGCAAGGATATACAGTGGAAAAAAAGACAACCTCTTTAACAAGCGGTGCTGGGAAAACTGGTCAGCCACCTGGAAAAGAATGAAACGAGAACACCGTCTAACACCATACACAGAAATAAACTCAAAATGGATTAAAGATCTAAACGTTAAGACCAGAAACCATAAAACTCCTAGAGGAGAACACAGGCAAAACACTCTCCGACATAAATCACAGCAGGATCCCAGAGTATTAGAAACAAAAGCGAAAATTAACAAATGGGACCTAATGAAACTTAAAAGCTTTTGCACGACAAAGAAACTATAAGCGAGGTGAAAGGACAGCCCTCAGATTGGGAGAAAATAACAGCAAACGAAGCAACACACAAAGGATTAATCTCAAAAATATACAAGCAACTCCTCCAGCTCAACTCCAGAAAATAAATGACCCAATCAAAAAATGGGCCAAAGAGCTAACCAGACATTTCTCCAAGGAAGGCATACAGATGGCTAAAAGACACATGAAAAGATGCTCAACATCACTCATTATCCGAGAAATGCAAATCAAAACCACAATGAGGTACCATTACACGCCAGGCAGGATGGCTGCTATCCAAAAAGTCTACAAGCAATAAATGCTGGAGAGGGTGTGGAGAAAAGGGAACCCTCTTACCCTGTCGGTGGGAATGCAAACTAGTACAGCCGCTATGGAAAACAGTGTGGAGATTTCTTAAAAAACTGGAAACAGAACTGCCCTATGATCCAGCAATCCCACTTCTGGGCATACACGCCGAGGAAACCAGATCTGAAAGAGACACGTGCACCCCAATGTTCATCGCAGCACCGTTTATAATAGGCAGGACATGGAAGTAACCTAGATGCCCGTCAGCAGACGAATGGATAAGGCAGCTGTGGTACATATACACCATGGAATCTTACTCAGCCATTAAAAAGAATTCATTTGAATCAGTTCTAAAGAGATGGATGAAACTGGAGCCCGTTATACAGACTGAAGTAAGCCAGAAAGATAAAGACCATTACAGGATACTAACACATATACACGGAATTGAGCAAGATGGTAACCATAACCCTATATGCAAAACAGAAAAAGACACACAGATGTATAGAACAGACTTTTGGACTCTGTGGGAGAAGGCGCGGGTGGGATGTTTCAAGAGAACAGCATCGAAACACGTATATATAACCTAGGGTGAAAGAGATCACCAGCCCAGGTTGGATGCAGGAGACAAGTGCTCGGACCTGGTGCACTGGGAAGAGCCAAAGGGATCGGGTCGAGACGGAGGTGGGAGGGGGGATCGGGATGGGGAATACATGTAAATCCATGGCTAATTCATGTCAATGTATGACAAAAAAATTTGTAAAGTCATTAGCCTCCAACTAATAAAAATAAATGAAAAAAAAAAAACAAAAAACCAGGGATTCATTGAGCTGCATGGGAGATGAATTCTGTCATTAGAAACTTTGCCACCAGGCTTATGAAATATATTTAGAACTCATTTCTTTCAGGAAACAGGTTTCAAGATCTCCATAAGAAGTCTTTTATTAAGATAAATCACAGCTTTGTCAGTTTCTCCAGAAGTACCCTCTTTTTAATTCCCAAGGAGAATGGCAATAATAAAACTAAATTAAAAGAGTAGGTTATTTTCTCTCTAATGGCCCCTGTCTTGATTAAGAGGATTCCGGTCGACGTATTTCCTGGGCTTCCCTGGTGGCTCAGGTGGTAAAGAATCTGTCTGCAATGCAGGAGACCTGGGTTTCATGCCTGGGTTGAGAAGATCGCCTGGAGAAGGGAATGGCCACCTCTTCCAGTATTCTTGCCTAGAGAATTCCACGGACAGGGGAACTGGGAAGGCCACAGTCCATGGAGTCACAAAGAGTCGGACACAGCTGAGCAACTAATACACATATTTTCTTACCATTTGCTTAGCAGAAGCAATCATTCATAGCATTTTATAGCACTTTCTAAAGAACATTTTGTGCCTTTTTTCTCTTTTGTAAGCTGCACCAGGTCTTGGTTGCCACACATGGGATCTTTCATTGTGGCGTGCACACTCTTCCTTGCAGTGAATGGGATCTAGTTCACTGACCAGAGATTGAACCCAGGCCCCTGCATTGGGAGCAGCCACTGGATCGCCAGGGAAGCCCTCTAAAGAACTCTTAAAGTGAAACTTTTTGGATGTTCGCAGCAGCTCTGGGCAGTCCTAGTGATGATACTTGTTCTGCACTCTTGAGCCCGTGACCTCCCTGAGGGACACAGGGGCCAAGCGAGCAGATGCTACCCCAGCGCCAGACCACAGGGCCAGACTGGCAGTGTAAACTCCCTTCCAGTGATGTCCTCTTTTTACTGTTCCTCTGGTCAATTCAGTACTGTTTCCTTGGAGCTTGTGTTTAAAAGGAAATCCTAGATGTGTTCAAACATTACTGCCCACTTTCAGATGCATTGATATCTACCTAGGACTTCTCTATTAAACCCACCTGCCTGAGTACTGTGACTTGATTGGAGTTTTCTTGAAGTCACTCCTGAAGCACTGTGATGGCTTTGTCTAACATTAATAGATTTTTTAAAATGATATGTGTTGGGGAATGGCTATGAAAAAAGGGGAGAATCTGTTGCTACTGCAAACCAATTAAGGAGGCAACTTAAAAAGGAAATCTGAATTGTAACTATGTTTCTATTTCTGTAAAATACTGTCCTTACCTTGCAGTCTGTAGTTGATGTGCCCAGACACAGTAGTGGCTCTCGGGTTGCTCTTCTGCCATCTTCCTGTCTCCTTCAGTCCCTGCATGCGTATAGGAACTTCAGTGAGATAATGGGGCATTTAACACAGATTAATACTCTGTGCAATACTGTATTTAGTGTTTCTACTTTAAAGTTTATAGGATGTTAATTTACATGCAAATAAAATACATGATAAGAGAGTTCTCTGCCTATTGTGTCTATATGACCTAAAAGTAAATGCAAAATATTTATCCCAGAGGGAAAATAAGTTAGAGCGTCTGTGTTCAAAGATTTTTGAAAGTTCTTATCTCAGGCCGAACCGTTGCTGGTGAACAGTGAAAGTCGCTCTGTCATGTCTGACTCTGCGAACGCATGGACTGTACAGTCCATGGAATTCTCCAGGCCAGAATACTAGAGTGGGTAGCCGTTTCCCTTCTCCAGGGGGTCTTTGCAACCCAGGGATCGAACCCAGGTCTCCTGCACTGCAGGTGGATTCCTCACCAGCTGAGCCACCAGGGAAGCCTGAACAGTTCTTGGCAGTTAAGGATTTAACAACTGCTAGAGTGTAAAGACAAAAGAGTAATTCCGCTACATTAAAACACATTTTCTTAAGTGCAAATCTTCTCAATGCAGTTTTAGGGAAGAAGTATTTCCCCCTTATGGAAATATCAGTATGTTAATTCCTAAGAAGTCCTTTCTCGAAAAGTTGCAAAAATTCATATGATGTAGATTAAATGGTGATAAAAATTGAGTTGATCTCAGTGAGGCAGCAGTGAGTGGTGGCGTGAAGTGAGATCTAATTCGCTGCCCAGGAACTGAACCCGGGTAGCCTGAACGAAAACCAGGAATCCTAGCCACCAGACCAGCAAGGGCTAGAGGCCAGAAGCCAAGTTTCCCTGGATCTTTGACCAGTGAAAAATGCATTCATCATGGAGGCAGAATCGCTACATGCAGGTACAACATTTATTATCAGAGACACAGCACAGCAACACGTGGGAAAGAACACGGAGGAACAGCTGGTCTAGTTACCACAGAAGCAAAGCAGAGACACACACCTGGAGAGAAAGGTTATGGGCGCCCCCTGGTGACAAGGAGCACAATAACCACGAGGTGGTGAAGTCCTTTATATAGGCCAGTTCTTCTGGGTCTTTGTCTTCCTTCCTGCCAAGTTTCTGGTTTCTTTCTTCACATCTGACCTATCCTGGGCCTCTGCCCTGGTGTGCACATACCCCTCAGCCAAGATGGATCTCCAAGTGGAGGCTTCTGGGAGAAGCGAGGCTCATCATGGTCTGGCACTTTCGCGGGACTTTTCACCCACAAGGAGCCTCTCTGCGCATGTGTAGTGTTTCCCTTCTCCCACAAGGGGGGTGGGGGGAGGGGAGATCTCTTCATCCTTGACTCAAGCAGGGTTTTGTCCCTCTTTGCCCTTGTCATGGCTACTAAAGTGTTCATAAGAGACAGACACTGGCTATTTACCCTCTTTCTGTTGTTACTTCCATTTCACAGGGCAAGCAGGACACTGACTGTAAAGGCTCAACTGGAGCCCAACCATCGCTTGCCTCAGGAAATGTAAACAGGCTAGATGTAAATGCCTAACCTGGAGTCCATCTGTCTCCTCCAGCAGCATTATGGGAAGACAAAAGGCGGAAAATTATGCCAATAAGGCACCACATGATGGTGCAAAAAGATGGATATAGACAAGGAAAGAAGGAATAAAAACTAAGCATTATGCTAATGGCAACCATTATGCAAGTTAATGGGGGGTGGGGGGGAACCTAATGGAAAACACTTGCTTTTATGCCATAAACCATCCTTGAATTCAGGTTGAATTGGATTTTTCACGATAAACTTTTCATCACCTCTGCATTGGCTTGTCGTCTACTTTGTGCAAAAGCCTGGAGCTCCTAACTACTAGGGGGTCTCCCATCCAAGTACTAACTAACCCTGCTTAGTTTCCCCGATCAGAAGACATCTGGCCCGTTCAGGGTGGTATGATCTTAGATGGAGGCGGTTGCCGCCAGGCGCCTTTAAAAACCCTGCGCTGCGCCTGCTTTTCGCTCTGATGTGCCGTGTCGAGCCAGCCGGCCGCACCTTTCCACGGGGCGCGCCGGCCAGGGCCGGCAGCCCGGCCGAAGCCTCCCAGTCCCCACACACCGGCAACCCTGGCCAGCAAACCTGGCCCGGCCCGGGGGCCCGGAGTGTTTCTGGGACCCCGAGCGGCCGGTCGGGCGTGCATGCCTGGGCTTGGGGTTGGGGTGAGGGGTGCGGAGGTCTCGGCGCCCTCCCGCCCTGGGCCTCTCCAGGCCCGCCCCCTGTCAGCGCCCCCCAACCCCCCGGCCCACTCCCGTTCGTGGCTCAGGGCCACGTGGCCCCGGAGGTGTCTGATTCGGGCCCGCCGCGGACCGCGGCCCTCGGTCCTCTGAGCCTCCCTCGGGCATAGGCGGAGCGCAGCCGGGGCCCTGAGCGCCCATCCTGCCCGGCACCTGCCCGGGGCCCAAACCCACTGGGAGCCACCAGCGTGGTCCACCCGAGCGCCTTAGCCCTGCCCCTTCGCCCGACCGCGGCCCCCCTCCTCGCCACGCCACCCGCCAAGCACAGGACCTTCCTGAGGTCCTTAAAATTCTTCCTTCAAGAGTTCTAGGTAAATTTAAGACAGCATCTACTGGATTGTCTCCAAGGGCTAAAAAAACAAACAAACCAACAGTTACCTTGATCCATCTTGCCTTAATGTGAGCTGTAACAGTAACCTCAGAGCTGCTGCACTCAATGATTTGATTCATTCTGTTGTTGAAAAACAGGGATTCTCAATATTGTCAAAATGGCTATAGTACCCAAAGCAATCTACAGATTCAATGCAATCCCTATCAAGCTACCAACGGCAGCTTTCAGAGAACTAGAGCAAATAATTTCACAATTTGTATGGAAATGCAAAACACCTCGAATAGCCAAAGGAATCTTGAGAAAGAAGAATGGAACTGGAGGAATCAACCTGCCTGACTTCAGACTATACCACAAAGCCACAGTCATCAAGACAGTATGGAACTGGCACAAAGACAGAAATATAGATCAATGGAACAGAAGAGAAAGCCCAGAGATAAATCCACGAACCTATGGTCACCTTATCTTCAACAAAGGAGGCAAGGATATACAGTGGAAAAAAATACAACCTCTTTAACAAGCGGTGCTGGGAAAACTGGTCAGCCACCTGGAAAAGAATGAAACGAGAACACTTTCGAACACCATACACAGAAATAAACTCAAAATGGATTAAAGATCTAAATGTTAAGACCAGAAACCACAAAACTCTTAGAGGAGAACACAGGCAAAACTCTCTCCGACATAAATCACAGCAGGAGCCCAGAGTATTAGAAACAAAAGTGAAAATTAACAAATGGGACATAATGAAACTTAAAAGCTTTTGCACGACAAAGAAACTATAAGCGAGGTGAAAAGACAGCCCTCAGATTGGGAGAAAATAACAGCAAACGAAGCAACACACAAAGGATTAATCTCAAAAATATACAAGCAACTCCTCCAGCTCAACTCCAGAAAATAAATGACCCAATCAAAAAATGGGCCAAAGAACTAACCAGACATTTCTCCAAGGAAGACATACAGATGGCTAAAAGACACATGAAAAGATGCTCAACATCACTCATTATCTGAGAAATGCAAATCAAAACCACAATGAGGTACCATTACACGCCAGTCAGGATGGCTGCTTTTGAAAAAGTCTACAAGCAATAAATGCTAGAGAGGGTGTGGAGAAAAGGGAACCCTCTTACCCTGTCGGTGGGAATGCAAACTAGTACAGCTGCTATGGAAAACAGTGTGGAGATTTCTTAAAAAACTGGAAAAAGAACTGCCCTATGATCCAGCAATCCCACTTCTGGGCATACACGCCGAGGAAACCAGATCTGAAAGAGACACGTGCACCCCAATGTTCATCGCAGCACCGTTTATAATAGGCAGGACATGGAAGCAACCTAGATGCCCGTCAGCAGACAAATGGATAAGGCAGCTGTGGTACATATACACCATGGAATCTTACTCAGCCATTAAAAAGAATTCATTTGAATCAGTTCTAAAGAGATGGATGAAACTGGAGCCCGTTATACAGACTGAAGTAAGCCAGAAAGATAAAGACCATTACAGGATACTAACACACATACATGGAATTGAGCAAGATGGTAACCATAACCCTATATGCAAAACAGAAAAAGACACACAGATGTATAGAACAGACTTTTGGACTCTGTGGGAGAAGGCGCGGGTGGCATGTTTCAAGAGAACAGCATCGAAACATGTATATATAACCTAGGGTGAAAGAGATCACCAGCCCAGGTTGGATGCAGGAGACAAGTGCTCGGACCTGGTGCACTGGGAAGAGCCAAAGGGATCGGGTCGAGACGGAGGTGGGAGGGGGGATCGGGATGGGGAATACATGTAAATCCATGGCTAATTCATGTCAATGTATGACAAAAAAATTTGTAAAGTCATTAGCCTCCAACTAATAAAAATAAATGAAATAAAAAATAAAAACAGGGATTCATTGAGGTGACTAAATCACTACTGCCACTCCCTGTTCTTATACTTCTATTAACCACATCTCTAGAATTAAAAGTTACAAGATGAAGTCCCTCATTTCTCACTTCCTAACGCAAAGTCGCTAGGAACTTCTCATGACGATTTAAGCAGGCCCAAATCAAAACTAAGTTCACAGAACTACACAAACAGTACACACAGTACTTTCGTATGTAAGAAAACAACAGAATTGCATTACACAGAATAGTTGTAAAGGCCATATGACAAAATTAAGACTTTGCAAACAGTACAACCAGAAAATCTTCTACAGGTAGAAATAACATTTAACAATGGTGTATAATTGATTTTATAAGTTAAACATAGAATTATCACATTACCCAGCAAATCTACTCCTAGGTATACATTTCCAAGAGAAATAAAAGACATATGTCCATATAACTTTTACACAAACATTCATAGTAGTAGTCTTTGTAGTAGCCAAAAAGCAGAAACAACTCAAACATCCATCAATTGATGAAAAGATAAATAAAAGGTGATACATCCACACAATGGAATATTTTTTTGGCAATAAAAAGAAAAGAAGTGCTGATATATGCTATACCCTGGCTAAACCCTGACAACATTACACTAAGTGAAAGCAGCCAGTCAGAAAAGACACATTATTTATTTTATCTATATAAAATCTACAGGACAGGCAAGCATACAGAAGGAGATTCATGTCTGCCTAGAGGTGGGATGGTGGGGATAATGGCAGGAGAAACTGCTAATGGGTGTTGGGTTTCTTGTGGGGCTGACGAAGATGATCTAAAATTGATTGTGGCACTGGGATGTACAACCCTGTGGATGAACTAAAAACCACTGAACTGTACACTTTAAACAGGTGAACTGTATGCTATGTCAATCCTATCTGAATAGTTATTTTAAAAATCAATTTTGTGTTACAAACATCCTAAACATGTTTATGGATTTTGATAATGAAAATCTCCCTGGGGAGAAAAATCTTATAGGTACTAACAGTACTTCTACAACTTGCCAGAATCCAATCTTTGGAACATGCTTTCTGCTCCTGATTAACCCACAGAGAAAACAAGGCCCTTAAATGAAGAGAAATGCAACACTGAAAGGGAAGACTAAAGCTGATTCCTTTAACCTGATTGCATACTTCACATACTTTTTTTTTTTACCTCCATTAGATAAGCAGATATCAGGTAAAGACTTTCAATTTTACACTGCTATTAACTTCTTTACTCATAAAATAAAATTATCCAAAATCAGGGGCAAAAGCCTGTAATAAAAATACTCCATTAAAAAGAAGTTTGCAATAGATGGATAGGTATTTTCGCCTTTCTGTCCTTTAGAATTGAAGCAGTACTTTAACAAGATGAAAAATATTACAAGTATTAACTGAGACCTTTTTGGTACAGAATTATCAAGTTCATGTTGGTGATGGCTTAGGAAAAAATAGAAAAAGTAAAAAGGAATAAACACACACACACACAAAATTAAGCTCAGCTAAAAAATGTTCCCTTTTTGGAATTTTGGTATATGTGTTTGCTAAACAGCAGCAAAATTTCAGAAAAAAAACAAATGCTGCTCCTAAAAGTTATTGAGAGTCTTAAACAAATACCATCTTACATTCATAGAAGTTTTAAACTATTTTCACATTGTTATAATCTTTTATCTTCACAATCCTATGAAGTAGACAGATCATGTTATTACCATCCCTATATTAAGAAAAACTAAACAGAGCTCAGTCAAACTGTTTAAAATGGGCCTTAACTTCTACTTCATAAAGATAACATAATCAGAGTTGGAACAGACTTGAGTGTTCCTTTCACAGTTAATCTTCCCCCATTTCACAGACGAAAAACAATGAAGCTCAGGGAAGTCAAGACACCCACCCAATATTACAAAACTCTCAGTGACATACTGAAGCCTGGGAGGCAGGTCTCCTAACTTTCGGCTGGATACACTCCTTTCACCACACTGCCCTGCCATGTCACAGTGAGTGATATAAAAGCAGGCTGAAAATGTTAAGAGTCACTAGAGAAGTGGGTAGTAGTAGTAGTAGCTCCAGAAAAGGGAAGACATTTTTAATTTTGAAAAAATTAAGACATTATGAAATAAATAAATTTAAATGTAAAACTACCTACCACCTTCGCCTTTTCCCCCTAAAATCCTCCTTCACATCTTCTTAAATCCCTGATTTGATCACAAATTCTTAAAATTTTCATAATCTGTACATATTTGTTCGTTGTTTAATCACTCAGTGCTGTCCGACTCTTTTGCGACCCCATGGACAAGGCTCCTTTGTTGGTGAGATTTCCCAGCCAAGAATACTGGAGTGGGTTGCCATTTCCTTCTCCAGCCTGCACATATTAAGATATCAAAAATTACTCAACTGATAAAATTTTACTTCAAATAGCAAAATATTTTTCAGGGGCCATGTTATATTCCTCTAAGTATTAAAGCCTGTTATTCTTGGTTATAGTAACTTAAAGTTATTTTATTGATACTTAGGTCACTGAAGTATTTTTCATTGTATATGCTCACTAAAATATTGCCATTGCAGACTTTTAGTTGAAACAGTAATCAGATCTGATAGACAATCTAATGCAAACATGAATTAATGAAAATGTTGTAACTGACTGGCAGACATGTATCATGTGATAGAAGGGTTTTTTTTTTTTTTTGAGGACTGTAAGACACTGAGATTGAAAAGATTACATGGGCTTATACTGTCATAAAAATGTAGACAGCACGAATCTTATCAACACATGGTAAACAGATCTTAATCACTTTTTTAGGCAAGATTTTTGAAATGTTTCAATCCCAGCCATCCAGGAAGATATGCCAGGCTTTATACAAAACTCTATACAGGCTGAAAGACTCAAAATCCATCTGATGTATCTGTATATAAAATATCACAAGGAGGGCAGATCAAAAGCTATTAGTATTAAAACTAGAGCAAGATTACACACACACACACACGCTCATATATATGTTGCATATACATATATACATACATACATGACACGCATAATGTATTCATCCTTTTCAACAAGTCCTAACTGAAAGCTTCATGGACCAGGGAAGACCCCAAGGACTAGTAATTCAAAAATGATAACAGTCCCCACTGAGCGGGAACTCACAGTCACTCAGACAAGGCAGAAGTATTTCTCAAGAAATTATAAATGTGTTAAGTGCTGAAATATAACATTTCAATAATTCAAAA